CCATGTTTGCCATCAACCGACTCAGAGACGTCATTTTCATCGCCGCTTTGTCTGCTGCTTTCTGTATATGCTGCCAGAATGTTAGTTTCGAGTCAATAAGAGTCCCTAGTTCCCTTACAGCCGTTTTGGTCTTTACAACCTCATCGCTAACTCGTAGAAACACCTCTAGGTCGATCCTTTTTGTCGTAATGATGGCTATTTCCGTCTTGTGTAAAGCAAGTTCTAGGTTATGATCATCCATCCATTTGCTCACTTGCCTCATGACTTGGTTTAATTTCAGCTGACATTGTTCAAGGTTACGTGCTCTTATAATTGCGGTCACGTCGTCTGCATAGCACACCAAAAAAGAATCTTCTGGCATTTCCAATCGAAGGATGTCGTCATACGATACATTCCACAAATCGGGTCCCAAAATGGATCCTTGAGCAGCTCCTGCGGTAACTTTTCTTCGGCAAGGGCCTGTCTTCGTCTCGTATATAAGGATTCGGTCTTTCAAATAATCTTTTACCATACGAAGAAGATAGGGTGGTATTTGAAATTTGTTTTTCAGGGCTTGTATAATATCCTTCCATCTGAGCGAGTTGAAGGCATTCTTAACGTCCAAAGTGACTAGTAGTACTATTGGTCTTGAGTAATGATTTCCCTCCTTTGTTGTCTTTGCTGTATCCATGATCCGCGAAATTGCGTCGACCGTGCTGAGTCCTTTTCGGAATCCGTATTGATAGTCAGAAAGATCGCCGGCAGCTTTAATCGCGTTTAGTAGGCGTGGCTTTAAGAGTTTCTCAAACAATTTACCAGCAGAATCGAGCATGCATAAGGGGCGATAAGAAGATGGAGAGTTTTTGTCGCCTTTCTCTTTACTAATAAGAACTAATTTTTGTTCCTTCCACTTCTTCGGGAAACATCCGTTTTTTAGACAGCTATTATACATATCCAGGAGAAAATTCGGTTGCTCCCGCTGTATGATCTTTAGGATTTCTACTGGGACACCATCAGGACCTGGAGCTTTGTTATTTTTCAGGGAGTTCACCGCTTGTTTGAGTTCCATTTGATCAAACAGGTTTTCCGCCTCTTCTTGGTCTACAGGTTCGTCCTCTGGTTCCAGCTGATGTGTAATAATAATAATAATAATAATAATAATAATTATTCCTCTGAAGAGGAAGATCGACCCAGCAAGGACCGCATCCGCTTCGAAGCGAGGCACATGCTCGTCGAAAAATGGCAACAAAGATGGGACAAGGAGGTAAAAGATCGATGGACTTATCGCCTTATACCGACACTTGCCACTTGGTTAAGTAGGAACCATGGAGAGATCTCCTACTATTTGACACAAGCGCTGACAGGTCACAGATGTTTTAATTCGTACCTGCAGCGCTTTAAAAAGATAGATAGCGAGGAGTGTGCTTACTGCCAGTTCCCTGTAGACAACGCAGAGCACACCCTCTTCACCTGCAGCCGATGGTACTTGGAGAGGCAGGCCATGTTCACCGGTGTAAACGCTACGCAGTTACACCGGAGAACATGGTAGCGCTGATGATCCAGTCCCAGGAAAACTGGCAGCTCATCGAGACCTTTATCATCTCTGTTATGATGAGAAAGGATCTCGATGGCCGCAGATAGGCGAAATTGACAGTACACAGTTTTTATTTATTTATTTGTTCATTTTATTATTTATTTTGTCTTTTATTGTCTTTTTACAATTTTCTGTTTATTTATTTTAGTCTTTTTACAGTTTTATGTTATATTTTGTGTGTTCATCTGTCTTTTTACAATTTTATTTTTTGACTTTTGTCTATTTTACTTTTATTTTATTTATTGACTTTTTATTGTTTTCTTTTCTGGTGTGCTGTTGATTCCGCTTGACATAGATTTTCGGTTTATTTTTAAAAATTGATAACGCAGGATGTCCGCAGGACTGGACGAAGTCGCTTTTGCGACAGAGTTGGAGCGCCACCCTCGAAGGCAAAAGTCTTCACGACAGTACCGAGGATGGATAAAAGGGCTCCCAAGAAGGGTTGACGGGTTTTTAGTGGGTCGGGGCTGGTAGTAGTTCGCCAGCTTATTTTGTTTATTGTTCTCCTTTTTTTTATCAACCCCACATAACCTTGGCATGCGGAAGCCAAGGTATCTGTATACAAATTTCCCAATAGTCCCTAAGCAAAAAAAAAAAAAAGTAATAATAATAATTTTAGTTTTAATGGACAATTTATTTAACTTGTCATATTTCTATTTAATTGTAATAATAATTTATTATTTATTAATCAGTTATTGTGACGTAATAATAATATCAATAAATTAATTTTTATTGGCCTTTTTAGTGTCACGTCAATTGAAGCTAGGGTATTTAAACAACACGTAATCCATCATCCTAGAAAATAGTTGCTTATTGGTGATGATTCAAGGGGATATTTGGTCATTTAAAAAACCTTATTTTATGATAGAAGAAGATTTAGAAACATCAAAATTAAAAATAATAAAAGTGTTTCATCGCTAAGGCTATATATTATAAATTTAAAAAGCAAAAATTGTTTCAAATAATTTTTTTTGAGCAATGAGAAAAATTGTATTAATTAAATAAAATTGTCTTTGAAAATGTTAAATAATTGAAAATATTTCTAAAAAAAAAAAATAAATTTCAAAATGCAGAAAATATATTTTATAGTCACAATAACTCTATCATTATCAATGGCATCTGAAGAACATGTGCATTTCATTTCAGATATGTACGAAATCACTAATCGTACTTCTGTTGCTTTACTTCACTTCAGTTCAAACGATAGTAAGTAATTTCAATATATAAAAAAAAATTTATATTTATATAAATTTAAAATACTAATCAAAATAACTATATCTTTCATAGATTTAATTTTAAAGAAATTAATTTTTAACATGCAAATCAATTTATTAAAAAAAAGATTTAAAGTATCAAATTTTCAACTGTTAAATTTCAAATATTTAATAACAACCGAGGAAAAATACGATAATATTTTCGGCATAAATGATAATGTATTGATTGTCTTTTTAATAACTTCTGAAGACGATTATCATAGAATACTTCATATTACAAAATTAATTCTGCGAAAAAATTTTTTGAATGTTCTTTTATTTCTAAATAAATCTCCTCTATTGATGACATCGTGCATGAATCCAAATGAAAATCCACTTTATCAATTCAATAATGGAGTTTCAATTCTTGTCAAATGTTATCGAGATCCTGTAATTCGCGAATGGCATTCAGTAAATAATAAGATTGTTATTTACGAAAGAGCCATTTGGAAGCCAAAAACGGGATTTATTTTAAAATCAAAAAAATTAGTTGTTGGTAGAGAATTCATAAGTAACAAAATTTTACTTGCAGCATCAATAACGGTGAGATTTATTATAATTATCACAGTAAAAAATATATATATGAGGTATTAAAAAGCATTGCAGATTAAATTAATACCTTAAAAAATATAAAAATTATCCATTTCTTTTTATTAAATTTTTATTCACGAATTATATTAAGTTCGGAGCAATATGTAAGTCTAATTTTATTGAAACGCATGAATAAGTTCTAAAAATCAATAATTCCTAGAATTTTGTTTTATAATAGAATTTCATTAGATATATCATTTTCATTGAGTCGAATTTTATTTGTTCGAATTATTATTTTGCAGAATTTTCATTAAACCGATTTTCTTATATTACAGAATTTTTTATGTAACTAAAAAATGATGCTGAAGTCCGCAACGTTTTCAAAAAACGAAAAATTAAAATAGAATTATATTTTCATGTTAATTTATCTCTAATTTTGATTTGCACAAACTTTCAAGAAATTAATTCCTTTTATAAAAACCAGTTACACCCCCGAATAACATTAATTTTACCCCAAAGTAATGGATATTGTCTAATTATTTTTTCGTTTTCGTTTATAAAAACTGACATCGGATTCGTAATCAGCGTCATATTCTGTTCATATCTACGAAAATGCAGTGACTTTTCCGCCATCTTGAAATTAAATGTTTTTTTTGGCTTCAAAAAAATATTATTTTAGTTTTTTTTTTTTATTTTATCCGCCATATTGGATTTCCACGTGGAACAATCTTTATTTTGACCCCAAAATCTAAAAGAGCGATTCCTAATACTCCCTACCATTGACATTAAAATATCTGGTCTTTTAATGTTTTAATACTTACATTATTGAAGTTGAGGTAAAAATTTTGGACATTTGAGCATTAATATGGGTTAAATGACATTTCGTGTTAATAAAAATTCGGAAATGGAAATTATGTTGAAAGAATATTTTGTTAAATTAATATTCTGTTAAATATAAATTCTGGTTAATTGAATTTCGATTAAACGTTAATTTAAAAAAAATAAATAAATTATGGAACAATCATGCGTCCCGATTTTGGCATGATTTTTAAAATCAATTAATCAAAAATTATCTAAAAAATTGTGATTGGTTACTTTTAAAAATAACGCAAAAATCTTAATGTCGATGATGGTTAGTTCAGTCATTTGAAATTTCGGACAAATGAAAATTCTATCAATTAAAAATTTTGTTAAATGATTTTTCGGTTAAGCATAAATTCTGTATAGTATATGAAAAATCGGTTATATTATATGAAAATTCTATCAATTAATAATTCGAACAAATGAAAGTACATCTAAAAGAAAAATTCTATGCAATTAAATTCTACCTAATAAAAATTCATTAAAATGACTATTATATGTTAAATGAAAATTTAAGAAAATAAAAATTCAAATTGTGTGGAGTGAATTTTTTGGTTAATATAAAAATTCTGTAATATAGAAAATCGGTTTAATGAAAATTCTGTAAAATAATAATTCGAACAAATAAAATTTGGCTCAATAAAAATGATATATCTAATGAAATTCTATGAAATGAAAATTCTATAACAATTGATCAGGAAACCGATACCATCGCAGACTATTTTAATAAATTGTGCTATGCACTTGAGAAAGTTGGAAATTTTACTATTAAAAAAATAAAAATGGAGGAAGATTATGGAATTTTAGATGAACGTAATCATACTTGGAATGGTGCCATAGGCCTTATTGTTAATAAACAGATCGATATAGCTTTGGGCTTTTTTACAATTATACCCAATGAAATTGCTATTATTGATTACTCTTCAGAACTGATAAGAGGTGAATGTATCATAATAATTAAACAACCAGAAATTAAAGTTCTCGTCTCATGGTCAGCATATTTTGAGGTAAATTACAATTTTCCTTTTTTTTTTCTTTTAAAAATAGTAATTAATTATCTTAAAAATATCAATACTTTCCCAATTCACTATTTATATTTTTTCAAGCCTTTCACATTCGAAATATGGATGTCTACAATATTAATGTTCATAGTCGTTCAAATTATTTGTATTTTTATGAAAAACAAACTAGCGACTCAATATTATCAAAAATCATCATATGTGACAGTCCCCGAGAGAAGGGACCTTAGCTCACCAAAACGAATTTCACAGGGCAAGCGTTTGAAGAAAAAGCAGAAACGCGGAACTCGAAGAGTGGGGCGGAACTTCTGAAAAGTTCCCCCACCACACTAACACAACGTTGTGTTTCTGTATACGTGAGCTTCGTCTACTTCGTGTATCTTCGGGTCTCACGTACGCGAAGCTCACGTACGAGAGTATAGTTGTGTAAGTAAAGTAGTGGGGCTGATTTCTTGAGTGCCACAATCCGCCTCGAAATGCGCTTGACATACCCATCTTCAAAATGTTATTGTGTCAAAAGCAATTATCCTAATCAGTTTTTGACTTTTGCATGTGAAAAAGCAATTCAAAATCTATCATTTACCATATAAAACTCAATATTGACCTCTGGTGAGCTAAGGTCCCTTCTCTCGGGGACTGTCACATATGCAGACGATTTTTATAATATTTTTGGACTCTTCTGTCGTCAGGAAGTGTCAAGTATACTATATTATTTATTATCTAAAATTATTTTTTCCGCAAAATTTATAAATATTTGTAACAATAATTCTATTAAATTTCGCTTTACAGTTGCCACGACTGCAATATCACTTAGAATATTCTACATCTCAATTATTTTCTTCTCTTTTTTGATGTGGTCCATTTATTCGGCCAGTTTTGTTAGTCATTTAACAATCATTGACTCTAATGTACCATTTAATTCTTTTGCCGAATTCACCAATGTCAAAACACACAAGTTAATCGTCTTTAAAGATACTTTAAATTACTTCAAAGTAAAAGTATGATTTTTTGATGCATAATAATATAATAACATATATAATACGTCACGCAATTTTTTACCATTTACGACCCCTTTTGATCAAAAATAAAAAAAATTTGTAGAGAAAAATATTTTATGCTTTTCAATCGTAGATTATTATAAACTCATGCATCCCTCACCAATAATGTCGCCTAAACAAAGTAATAATTTTGATGAATTAAAATTTCACTGATCCATTCATATTATTTGTAATTATTTTAAGAATGCAACACAGTCTCCCTTAAAAGAAGCAGCCGAATTGCTTGTAAGTGATGACAATCTACCAATGACAAACGTGGAGGCATTAGAAATGGTATAAATTAAACGAATGCTTATGTATAATAATTGTTTTTCAAACTCTATGCTTTTTATGTTATTTTTTAATAACGATTTATAAAAAGCAATTAGGGAACTAATAAAATGTAATAACATTCAAAATAATCAATAATAATCATATGCGTGACGCTATCCACGAGAGGAAGGACCTTACGTCAAAAAAATTTTTGGCTTTTATTCGCGATTTTTGGAGTGAAAATACTCAAAGAGAATCAACTCTTAATAGAAAAAAATTTATGTTTAAGTCTCCATTACATTAAAAAAATCCAATAAAAACTAATTTCGATATTACCTATAATTAAAATGATAAAACTATCACATAAACATAACCTAAAAATTTTTTTAACGTAAGGTCCCTTCCCTCGTCGAACGTCGCACATATTTCTTCAATGTGTGGAATCATGCACTAAGAAAAAAATTAATTTCCTGATTTTAGATTTGCAAAAATGAAATGGCTCTTTTTGCAGACATGCTATTTTTAAAAATCATTTATCACAATAATCTCTCAGGTATTTGTAATTTTTCAATAATACCAACTGGTGAATTTATTGAGTTCGCTTTAATTTTAAATAAAAACAGTCCATATACAAAAATAGTAAATTACTAGTGAGTATTTTTCTATTATTTTAAAACATTACTGTCAATAGGTGCTATTTTGGTATAGGGTAACTGCACCAGTGGTGGATCAATTAAGCCTACTAAATTTATTATTTTGACTTTAAAGGTGTACAGATTTTTTCAGATGAAAAATATAGGGTAATCTTTACAATAGTATGAATTAACAAGTCTTCAAGGACACTATCGTGTAGTTTTCGACCTGCTTGTAACGTTTACACCCCCTCACACCGCCATTCAACAATAAAATGACATTGCTCCAGTCGTGGATCATTTACCCCTTTACACTACACAAAAATAACTTAATGATGTAAATTTTTTTCCAAAAGTATTCTATATCGAAAGAATTGATTACTTTCTAGTCTAAAAATTAAAAAAATTTGGACTAAACAATTATTTTTTAAGATTTCATGTGAAAAAGCATAAAATCAACAATTGTTGTATTGCTTTGTTTTCCTAAATATTTTCAAATGATTTTATTTCATAAAATTTATCTATACACCTCCCCTAAACGATAGAAACATTTAGTTCAATTAGAAATAGCTTATTTTAACCTTTTTAACGCTGTTGATCCACCATTGGTACCTGATCCACCACTGGTGCATTTACCCTATAAGCAAATTTTTAATTAATTTGTAAAATATTCATTTCGAAATATTAAAATTCAAATTTGAGGTCAGATTTAAGATATTCAAAATTTAGATTCATATAGACCACAAAAACCCCTAAGTAACGAATTTTGAACGAATCGAATCTATTTTGTAAATGTTCCGCTATATTGGGTCACCACATTGGGTACGACATTTTGATTTTTAAAATCTGACATCACATTTGAATTCAGCGATCCAAAAAACCCCAAGAAACAATTTTCAAGTAAATCTGGTAAATTTAAAAATTTTTTTTGCTCGCCATATTGTGTACGCTATTTTGAATTTTTTAAGGCCAGGTGCAACTCATCAAATGTAAACGAACCGAAAATGTACGTAATTATTGACAAATTTGCGACAGCCTTTTTTTAAATAGAAAATAAAAAGGTCTTTTAGGTCTTTTACCCCTTCCCACACTATTTCTCCCATTCAGGTCTACTTCGTCCGTGCGTCAGATATACTCAAATGGTTATATTTTTTCGTAACCTTGAGAAAATGTTTAATACAATTTAATTTTCATTTTATTATAATTATTCATATTATTAGTCAAATACGGTGTCAATCTGTAGTTTTATATATGAATTTTCCATTTTCACATCCCGTGTGGAAATTTATCTTGAAAATGTATGGAAACTGTACAGTTGAGCTAGAGTCAATCAAGCAACTTGAGAGGAAAACTGAACAGAATCAAGTAGGGTATGTGACGCTAGGAATAGCTAGGTTTTTTCCAGGCCCGTTGTCTAATCCCTTTCTATAGTAAAATAAAAATGGAATTAATTATACAATTAACAATTATTTATAATTGAAGACCTCATATTTACCCCTACCTATTATTATTTAACGCTCGCTGGGATCGAACCCCCTAACCTAATGCTCCGCAGGCTAATACGCTAACCATTATACGCCACCTTAAATCTAACATCAAATTCGAAATCAGTAACCCCAAAAACCTTAATATACCCATTGACAATCAAATTGAATTATATGTTTAATATTTTTTTCTAAGGTATGGCCATATATAGCCAAAATGTATATATGTTAGCATTACCAAAAGTGTTAATTTTAAAATATATCACAACTTTTTTTTTAAAAAAATCGTAAATTATTTTTAAAAAATGGTTTTTAAAGCTGAAGAGTAGTACTATATAAGATCCTTTTTTTGAAAATTAAAAAAAAATTTCTATCCAAAAGAATTATCAAAAATGGTTAAAGTATATAAATTTATTGACCCTTTAGTCTTCATTTACTAAAAATCCTGACGTGATGGAGCATTTTGAAGGTCAGATTCATTTTTAGAACAAAAAAAAATCTACATAACAATCATCTAGAATTATTTTAGATACTGAAAAAAATTAAATTTCGCAGATCTGTGTAATTATAATTTATAATCATTTTAGATTAAATGAATTTTTATGAGTCACTCGGTATAACAATTTTCTTTTGACAATATTTCATTAATTTTACAAATATTTATCCTAAATTATTTGCATTTGTGACTCGTAGTAACGTAAATATAGTTAAAAATTAGTTTGCTATTTTTATAAAATTGTTTTAAAATATTTTTTTGGAAAAGCTCGCTTAATTTCAATTTGCACCACATTCCTCTTTAATATTTGACAGAATTTATCTTCAAATGAATTTTCAATTTTTTAAATAATTTTTATATTTTATAAAATTTATTTGTTCCCAACTTTTCTCCACTAATCAGAAAATTTTCTTGAAAATTGTTATCGGTGGATTTTAAAACTGGCACTTAAATATTTCGGCCAGGTGTATGATTTTTTTTTTTAACTTGTTTTATATGTAGTTCAAAGTTTCAATACAGCTTAATTCGAAAAAAAAACATTTTTTTTTATTAAACATTAAACAATAAAAATTATGTGATTTGCGTACCATACCATAATAGTCCCCCAGTTGACGGTAATAATTATTATACATAATTATATTTCTCTTTTTCTTAATTTGAAATTATAATAATATGTTGTTTAAATTGTTTTAGTATTCGAAGATTTCATGAAAATGGTGTATTGACTCTACTAAACGCGGAAATTTATAAGATTGGAACAAAATATTCGTATCAAAGCTTTTATAAAAAACATACACCTGTTACTGTTGTGGATGTTGCAGTGATTTTAACAATTTTATTTTCAAGTTTCAGTGCTTCTATTATAATATTTTTCTTTGAAAAATTATATTTTTGGCATGAAAGAACAAAAATAATAATTTTTATAAAAAGAATTTATCAATTTAAAATTAAATTTTAATTTAACAGTTTTCTTGTAAAAAATAGTGCCTAAATTTTAGAATTATTAATTTTTAAAAATCATTTTTTTTAAATAGACCTAACTTTAATAATCTCTCTTTGATTATTATTAAATTTATAAAAGTTTTTCAAAAAGAATAAAAATTCAATTCTTCATTGACATTCTTAGACAAATGGACATTTTCAGTATGTATATTTTTACAAAATAAAAAAATATTTTTTTTTTTAAATTTGCATGCTCAATTACACCTGCTTTTACCTTTACCCAAAAACGTAGTATTAGTTTCAAACGCATAGTAGAGAGGGAAATTTTCAGGAAAGCCGTCACTTTTGTCAGTTGTTACTGTACATTTTTTATATCCTATGCCCTTTTTGAAAATTTTGCATACCCAAAGAACGCATAAAAGAAATGTAGAATAGAAACAAAAAAGTTTCAAAAAAATCGGAGATTTAAATTCAAAATGTTGTCTGCTTTTGACTTTGAAGAACTCATTGTATATGGGTGATTCTCCGCGTAGCGCACAATTTGGTGTCTGAAACTTTAAAAATATTTTTTTTATCGAAATGATAAATATCAGTACATATTTTTGAAGATAAAGTGTCAAGAAATAAATTACCATGGTGGTCCGGAAAATTTTTTTATAATATTTTAATTTTTTTAAACAAATTAAAAAAAAATTCTTTGCTTTTCAAATTCTATAAAATAGTTGAAATTTGATTTAAAATGTTTATGGAAATTTTTGGGGTAATTCACAAAAATATATAGTATATAGCACGAATGACAATTAAAAATTTTATTTCGGTAATTTATGGAAATTTATACGGTAATTTATAGAAATTTTGGCTATAATTCATAAAAATATGTAAAGCATAAATCGCAATTAAAAATTTTAATTTCGGTAATTTACGGAAATTTCCGCGGTAATTTATGGAAATTTTTGCGGTAATTTACAAAAACATATATAACGCGAACGACAATTAAAAATTTTATTTCGGTAATTTACGGAAATTTCCGCGGTAATTTACAAAAATATATATAGCGCGAACGACAATTAAAAATTTTAATTTCGGTAATTTACGGAAATTTCCGCGGTAATTTATGATAATTTTTGCGGTAATTTACAAAAACATATATAACGCGAACGACAATTAAAAATTTTATTTCGGTAATTTACGGAAATTTCCGCGGTAATTTACAAAAATATATATAGCGCGAACGACAATTAAAAATTTTGATTTCGGTAATTTACGGAAATTTTCGAGGTAATTTATGGAAATTTCTGCGGTAATTTATAGAAATTTTGTCTAAAATTCATAAAAATATGTAAAGAATAAATCACAATTAAAAATTTTAATTTTGGTAATTTACGGAAATTTCCGCGGTAATTTATGGAAATTTTCGCGGTAATTTACAAAAACATATACAATAGCGCGAACGACAATTAAAAATTTTATTTCGGTAATTTATGGAAATTTGCGAGGTAATTTATGGAAATTTATGCGCTAATTTAATCTAAAATTTAGTCTAAAATTCATAAAAATATGTAAAGCATGAATCACAATTAAAAATTTTAATTTTGGTAATTTATGAAAATTTTCGCAGTAATTTACAAAAATATATATAGCGCGAACGACAATTAAAAATTTTATTTTAGTAATTTATGGAAATTTATACGGTAATTTATAGAAATTTATTTGGTAAGTTATAGTAAACTTACCGGAGCTATGATAGTTTATAATAAATATTTTTAATTTCATTTGTTTCATTGTGTATTAAAATTGCACTAGTGACGGTCGAAATTCTGTGGCGGGTGGAGACGCTGGGGTCGGTGGAACTGGCGTTAATAATTTTTTTTTTTTTTTTCAGAAAATTATCATTTATTTTTAATCGGTTTCATATGTTTCACATATATATAGACTAAAATAATATAACTACACTTTATTTAACCTTTATTATTTAATTATATTCTATTTTTTTAAATAATATTGAAGGGTCGGTGGATGCCGGTAGAGACGATTTTGTGATGTCCTGTACAAATTTGAATCTTGAAGTGCGTAAAAAAAGGATAAATCAATTAGAAAATTGATTACTTCCTTCATGGATCAACTTAAGAAATATAACTTTTGCTGTTACTGAAGTAGAACTATATTAACATTTGACTTTTATTTAAATAATTCAATGTTTAATAATAATAAATATATAATACTAAAATAGCAACAGAAATTATATTTATTAGTGCACATTGCTAAAAATATTAACTTTTTTTGTTTAAACATCCTGTGGGGACAGGTGAAATTTTGACGTTTTCAAACCACTTTTCACGAAAAATTATAATGTTAAATACAAAAGTAACTACCCTACTGAAAATCCCTGTACAAGATCTTGTACAATTTCCTGTACAGGATCAGCAACTGAACTTGTACAAGTTGTGCAAGATCTTGTACAAGAAAGATGCTTGTACAAGAAAATGTTCATGTACAATTTCATGTATAAGTACTTGTACATGAACACGTCCATGTTCTTGCACAAGTTAATTCATGTTTTTCTTTACTAAAAATTAAAAACTTCAAAGGCTGCGCAATAGTTTACTTTAACCTTTACAGCTGCGCAATAGTTTTTAGCATGCATGAGTTACGAATCTTAGTGGTTAAATATTATCAAAATCTCAAATTTTATTAAAAAAAAAAAATTTTACAACTATACATGTGCAAGAACATGAACGTGTTCATGTACAAGTACTTATACATGAAATTATACAAGATCATGTACATTTTCTTGTACAAGTATCTTTCTTGTACAAGATCTTGCACCAGATCTTGTACAAGATCTCACACATGAACTTGTTCCAAATTCGTATGCATTTTCCTGTACAGGAACTGGTCAGAACTTGTACAAGTTCAGTTGCTGATCCTGTACAGGAAATTGTACAAGATCTTGTACAGGGATTTTCAGTAGGGTATGTATTGGTTTTTGTTTGTAATCACAGAAATTACCTTTTTACATTGGAATCGAAATATTATGTGAACATTATTTCTGATTTTTCTTTCACAACATGAAAAAAAGCAAGTTGTGCGCTACGCAGAGAATCACCCATATAATAAAAAATTTTTTTTTAACTAAATCAAATGTAATTATAAATCGTATATGCATATATGCAATTATTAAATATAATAATGGAATAATACTGCGCAAGTCACCTGATGATTCATTATAGTTACAAGACAATTTTCTATTTCAATTATCACACACATATATAGATGAAGATGTGATGCAATAAACATCCGTGTATGCATTAGTTGACATAAAGTTCTCACAGGAGTAAGACGTATAATCTAACTGTCAAATCAAAGTGAGTAATATCAAAAATCATCAACTAAATGCTTTTCTACTAGTGAAAATTAAACAAATAAACGAAAAGAATTAGAAAGAAAGAAATTTTTATAATATTATATACACTGTCAACTATATAAAGTCAATGAAATATTATTTTACAGAGTAAAACTATCTACAATGGGGCCAATTGAGCTGTTATGTATAGTTGCTGCAATTTTCCTCTTCCTCTACTACTATAGTTCCAAAAATCATAACTACTGGAAAAATCAAGGAGTAAAAGGACCCGAACCTATGCCATTTTTGGGAAATATGAAAGATGTTTTATTAAATCGTCTGGCACCTGGACAAATGGCAAAAATTCTTTACGATAAATTTGTCAATGAACCAATGATTGGAATTTACGCCAGAAGTACACCAATTTTAATTCTAAAAGATCCAGAATTAATAAAAGACGTTCTCATCAAAGATTTCAATAAATTTGCCGATCGTGGATTACCAATTCATGAAAAAGTTGAACCACTTTCACAAAATCTCGTTAATCTCGAACCAGAAAGATGGAGGCCATTAAGAAAGAAATTATCACCTGTTTTTACATCGGGAAAATTGAGAGAAATGTTTTCCCTTCTATTGGAGAGTTCTGAACATTTTGAAAAATATTTAAATAAAATTGTGCCAAAAAATGAACCAATTGAGTGTCGTTTACTTACATCGAAATTTACAACCGATGTGATTGGTTCCTGTGCTTTTGGAATTGATATAAATTCATTGTCAGATGAGGAAAATGATTTTATACGAATAGGAAGGAAAATTTTCGATGTTAGTTTTAGGAGATCGATTAAAATTAAAATTAGAGATTTAGCACCTGGTTTATTTTCACTTTTAGGACCATTGTTCAAGGATAGAGAAATGGATAATTTTTTTACTAGTTTAATAAAAGATACGATGAAATATAGAAAGGAAAATAATATTATTAGGCATGATTTTGTTGATTTATTGAGATATGTGAAGGAAAATCCGGAGAAGATTGACGATATTGGTAAGTTAATTTGTTTTTATATATTTCCACTGAATATCACAGTGCCGCTATAATATTACATGATAAAATTTTTGAAAAATGAACCTCAGAGATATAGTATATTGAAAAACTTGGAGAAATTATTTCTTCCCTTAGTATTTTTAGTAATCTACTGCTTTTAAATCTGAACTAATATCATTCGAGTTCCACCAAATCGATTATAAAAATTAAAAATAAAAATTTTGGAAAAAAAATAAAGAAACAAATTTTTTTTAATAAAATTTTATCAAAATTACAAATAATTAAAAAAAGTGAATGAATTGGAAGCTTTTTCCATTCATGTAAATGAATTTTAAGAACATTGAATGAAAATTAACCCTTACGTGCCCCCGAGAAACCCAGCGGTTGGATTTTAATGAAACTCACCACTCGGGTGTTTTTGGGGTCACAAATCACAATTGTTTATACTCGTAAATTATTAAAATTAAATAAGTTAAACTTGCATTTACAATTTGATTCCTTTGGAACATTAAAGAAAACACTGGTAAGATCATTTTAGGATTTAAGTGATTGAATTTTAGGTTGTCCCGTGAAATTTATTCAATTATTATTTAATAATTTTTTTAGTTGTAAAATTATAAAAAATTGTTCTGAAAGAGATTTATTCCTCTCATTTTCCTTGACATTTTGAAAAAAAAGGAGACCTCATTCCGATTATTAGAACGGAAAATATAGCAGTTTAAAACTTTTTGTTATTATTGCAAATCTCGTAAACTAACAAATATTTTAAGTTGAAATTTACGTTTAAGATTAGTCTTACTATATATAACAAAATTCCAAAGTTTGATTAGGGGCCGTCCATAAACCACGTAGCCAGTTTAGGGAGAGGGGGGGGGGTTCAGTGAAATTCTACGGTAAACTACGTGGGGGAGGGGAGGGGTTCGAGCCATGACTACGTAGTTGTATTTATTAAGTCATTTATTTTGATATTTTTTAACTTGAAAAAAAAATAATTGGGTCTCACGAATAATATGCCATGAAAATTATAAAATTGCATTTTTAGTGTTTCGAAATCATCTGCTTTTAGAAATATTACTTAATCAGAAGAAATTAATGCAAACAATATTGTAAACAAATTTTTATTAATTAAGAATTCTACAATTTACTAAATTTTCATTCATTGAAATTTTTAATTAGCTATATTTTTATTTATCATAATTATTAGAATGAATTTCACTTTGTCGATTTTGCTGCCAAAACCAAATGGTAAATACATTATTATTTCATTTTAACAAACATTTAACTGGTAAGAATGTTTCAGTTAAACTTATTTTTATTAGAATTAATTTTTAATAGAAATTAAAAGTTATGTAATGTTAATATTATTAATTAATTATTCGAATTACTATATAATTTGAAAATTATATAACGTAAAATTTTCATTAAAAGTAATTTTTTCTTATTAAAAAACAGGTGTAATATTCTTACAGATGAAATTTTTGTTAAATAAAATTTAAATCCCTTCAGGTATTAAAAAGTGTGTAAAAGCATATTTAAGAGCATTTAATTTATTGAAAAAATCATTAGTATAAATTATTTATTATTATTTATTATTATTTATTATTATTAGTATAAAAAATTAAAATTCCTTATGTGTTCTTAAATTGAACTCTCTTTATTGGAAATTGTTATCTATTCAAAAGAAATACATTTTTAAATAAGTAAAAAAAAAATTCGTTCTACCAGTGGAGGGGGTGGGGTTAGAGCGAAAGTCTACGTTGGTCTACATGTGGGGAGGGGGAGTTAAAAAGTGCCAAAAATTGGGCTACGTGGTTTATGGACGGCCCCTTACAATCGGTTAACCTACTCCGAAAATGTCAAAATCTCACCTGGAATCGCACAATATTAACTTCAAACTCACCACTTGGGAGTTTTCGGGGTCGCTGATTCCGAATCTGAAGTCAGATTTAAAAAATTCAAAATATCGGATCCAATATGGCAGACATTTTGTCAAAATTAATCATATTTGCTTGAATCTCGCACCACTTGAAGGTTTTGGGGGTTGCTGATTGCGAATCCGATGTCACATTTTTAAAATTCAAAATGTCGAATGCAATATGGGGGACTTTTTTTCAAAATAAATCTTGTTTACTTGAAACTCAACACTTGGGGGGTTTCTGGGGTCCTTGATTCCGAATTTGAAGTCAGATTTTCAAAATTCAAAATGGCGGATCCAATATGGCGCACAAGTTTTGTAAAAATTTATCGGATTCACTTGAAATTCGTTACTCGGGTATTTTCGGAGTCGCATGTTATAAATATGATATCTGATTTTCTATTCACGGTTTGAATTTTAAAAATCTGAATTCAGATTCGGAATCGCAGCGACCCCGAAAACCCCCAAGTCGTAAGTTTCAAACAAATATGATAATTTTTTTAAAAAGTCCGCCATATTGGATCCGCCATTTTGAATTTTGACTTGAGTTTTTATTTTATTACTATAGGTATATAAAATTATATTGTGTATATTACTTTACAGAAATGACTGACAGTTTAGTAGCAGCTCAATGTTTTGTTTTTTTTGCGGCTGGATTTGAAACATCATCAACAACAATGAGCAATGCTTTGTATGAAATAGCACTTAATCCACCAGTTCAAGATAAATTACAAAAAGAAATTCAACAAGTTTTAAGTAAATCAGATGGAAAATTAACATATGACAATGTAAAGAGTATGAAATATTTACACAAAGTTTTTCAAGGTAATTTATATTATAAACTTACATTATGCTTTTCTATGTATATATATTGTGACGCTTGACGAGAGAAGGGACCTTATTTACTCTTGAGTTAAGGTCCGTTCTCTTGTGGAGCGTCATATATATATATATATATATATATATATATATACTGATAATAAAATGATAATATAAGATAAAAGACTATTTTTTTTATCAACAAATTCGATTGTAGAAACTCTGAGGAAATATCCACCTGCAACTATGCTGCAACGAAAGGCTTGTGAAAAATATACATTTTCTGGAACGAATGTGACAATTGAAAAAGATTCTAGAGTATGGGTCCCAGTTTATGCAATTCATCGGGATCCAAATAATTATCCTAAACCAGAAGTTTTTAATCCTGAAAGATTTGAAGATGAGGAAGTAAAATTAAGACATCCTATGCTTTTCTTGCCATTTGGAGAAGGGCCGAGAAATTGCATTGGTATAACTATATTTTACACTAATAATAATAGTTGTAATATTGGACTCTATTTTACGACCTAAATAATAGAAATTGTTGAATAGAATGTTTAGTGCGGTTTTAAACGTTCTTAATGTAAGAATAATGAAACTATAGATGCTTTATTTGGTTAAACGTTTTGACCTTTGGTTTGGGTCCTCTTCAGTAATTTATTATTTTCTGTAAAGTCCATAATTTTTACAATTTTACATATTTTTAATAATATTTTTTTTATATTTCAAAGAATTATATTCCTTGCTTGTAAAACTTATGTACTTTGCAGAAAATACTATAATAACTGAAGAGAACCTAAACCAAGGATCGCAACGTTTAAACAAAAAAAAAACATTTATCTAGTTTCATTATTCTTACGCATATCATGAACCACTAAATATTCTATTCAACAATAATAATAGTAATAAAATGTTCTAATATATTTATAAAAAAATTAATTAATTTTCAATTTCATTGATTTTAGGAGCAAGATTTGCCGTATTTCAAACAAAAGTGGGACTCATAAAAATTTTACAAAATTTCCGAGTTGAAAAATGTGAAAAAACCCCTATGACATATGTCATTAATCCAAGGGCTTTTCTTCTGGCTCCACAGGAGGGAATTTATTTAAAATTCACAGGAATATCTTAATAATACCTATAGTTATTTTTTAGCCAATTTATTCATCACTATAATATAAAAATAGAAAATTCAATCTGTGTTTTCTTTGCATATTCCTTGCATTCATATTCAGATTTAGTGATTATCGATAAAAAATTTTATATAGTATCTCAAAACTGTTTTATTATGTTTAAAATGAAAAAAATTTTTACTCTCTTGGATTTTTTTTAATATATTAAAAGTGTATCCGATTTTATATTATTATATTGGAATATAAAAAAACTTGAAAAACACCTAAAAGAGACGAAACATGTATAGTTAGTAAAACCGTTATACTGTAAAAAAAAGTCTTATCACATATGTAACATAAAAAATATGTAAAAAAAAATTTTAATTATCATATTATTTGTTTTTGTCTTTATAGAAGCAAGTCATTCTAATATTACAACTATAAATCATTTTCTATTAAGTGTACACTATATATAAAATGGTATTTGAATATTTAAAATTTTATATTTAATATTATTATAAATTAAAAAATAATAATTTTTTCCGAATTTTCATTTAATATAAATTGCTATTTAACATAATTAATATTTTACAAAATTTCCATAATACAGAAATTTTAATTAACATAATTGTTCTTCAATCTAATTTTCATTTAGCAGAATATACATTTAAATTTTTTCACTTAAAAGAATTCCAATTTCTACAAATTTCTATTTACAAATAGAATTCTCATTTAACAGAATTTTAACTAAGTCGAATCCCGGCTGAAAAAATTTGTACAAGAAAATGTACAAATTCTTGTACATGTTCATTAATGAACTTGTACATTTTCTTGTATACATATTTTTTGTGCAGGTTTCATGTACAAATACTTTTAATTTACGGATTTTTGACCATTGCAAAAATCATGCGAAATATGAAAAATTAATTTTAAAAAATTCCCAATGGTTCCCAAGTTTTTAACCATGCTACAAAATCCGTAAAATAGAAAAAAAAATTTCCCATGATTCGCAAGATTTTAGCAATGGTTTAAAATCAAAAAAATTATAAAACTTTTTCGCATTGGTTTTCAAGATTTTAGCAATGGTTTAAAAACCGTAAATTTAAAAAAAAAAATTTCCCATGGTTCGAAAGATTTTAGCAATGGTCAAAAATCCGTAAATTAAGAAAAATAATTTTCCCATGGTTTCCAAGATTTTAGCAATGGCCCAAAATTAGTAAAATTAAAAAATTAATTTTCCCATGGTTTCCAAGATTTTAGCAATGGTTAAAAATACGTAAAATTAAAAAAAAAATTTCCTATGGGAAATTGTACCATGGGAAACGGACATAAGCAATGGTTTTTGAGATTTTTGACAAGGTTTAAACCGGGTCTAATCGTATTTACCTTGGCAATCAATTTCTCCCATGGTTTTTATGATTTTACCCATATGGTTCCATTTCCATGCGGGGCATGTATAAGAACTTGTACATTTTCTTGTATTTAAGTTTTTTCAGCCGGGATTTTTAAATGCCAGAATTCTTTTTTTACCGAAACATCATTTGCCAAAATTTTTATTCATACAAATTAGTGACCCTTAAAACGCTTCACTAACTTTTAACTTCTTCACTTTCGATAACAGTGTTATCTCAAAAATTAATTTTTTATCTCTAGGTCATATATTTTTATCTGTATTATTAAATATTAAAAAAGAAGTTTAGTTAAAAAGAGCACAAACGGTATTTATGGGCCTCAATTTATATCGAAGAGGCATTCCAAAAATGAAATAGCAGAAATAAAATATCGGGATGAGCAAGCATGTTTGGATTCAGAGCCAACGTTGCAAGTCATCTGCTAATTCATTGCAGTTATATTAGTAATAAATTTTATATTTCAATAATAATAAACACACAACGTTGATAATGAGATATAATAAAACATCCGTACGTATATCAATGCCACAGTCAACTTAAATTTCTCATGAGAGTAAGACTAACTTGTTATCATCTCATTGTCAAATCAAAAGTAAGTGCGATTTTAATAATTAAATGAAAATCAAATAAAAAAAAAATGTTGAAAATTTTTGTTAATTTTTTGGTGATCCGTTTCAGAAATTTTGATTATTATTAACTTACTTGACTTCAAAAATTATATACAATCAACCTAATTCTAAATTAATTTTTTGTTTCGATGTCTGGACCAAAGTTAAAATTTAATAATATTATTAATTAACTAATGGAATATTGAAACTCAATATCTACATTCTACATATAGAAACAAAAAATTGCATTAGAATTAGGTTAATTGTAAAAAATTGTTATTTAAATAGCACAACCCCATAAAAAAAGTATCATGTTCGCGGCTAACCCGAGTACCCTACCCCCATGTAGTTTGGTACGATGAACACGAATCTGAGGTCAGACTTACTCCATCAAGTGAAAATTTTTTTCTAACCTCAAAAAACATATATCAGATTTTATGTAATATACAAATTTTTTAAAAATTGGTTGGATTTATTTAAAACTCGTTCCTTCGGAGTTTTTGGGGTCACTGATTACGAATATGAACTCAAATTTTCAAAATTCAAAATGGCGACGGTATTAAATTTTTTTTTATTTACAGTTAAATCTAGAGGTTTTTGCGGGGTCTTTTGATTACCAAATAATTTTTATTTGAATTAAATAAATTGTACTTGAACCAATAATTTTTGTATTTGAAACAAATACCATTTCATTGACTCAAATAATAATTATTTGATACAAATAAATATTTATTCCATAATCATCAAGTAACCGGTTATTTTTGAAACAAATAAATTTTTTTTTCAATACATAAAATTAGAATAAACTGACAATAATTTCCAAACAATTAAATTTAAAATTATTCAAAACGTAATATGCCACATTATTACCAATTGCTGAAATTTTGCAACGGAATAATATCAAAACATAACCTCAATTATGGATTTACTCTGTTCAAGAATTGTGTTGGACCAGTTATATGACATATATTATATATTATATTACATATTATATGACAAAAATAAGTTTGGCATCGAGATTAGATCGAAAGTAATCGAATAACACAAAAATCTTGAAAATATGACTTATATAGTTTTCGAATTCTTGCCGGCGATATGAACATCCATTTTTCTGAAAATTTTCTGCCATATTGAGTCCGCTATTTTGAATTTTTAAAATCTGATTTTAGATTGGAAATCAGCGACCCCAAAAATCCCTGATATACCAATTTAAGTGAAAATTTAAAAATTTACCCGCCATATTGTATCCGCCATTTTGAATTTTAAAAATTTGAGTTCATATTCGTAATCAACAACCCCAAATACCCACAAGGAACGAGACTTAAATGAATTCAATCAATTTTTAAAAAAAAATTTATGTTACATAAAATCTGACATGTTTTTTGAGGTTAGAAAAAAATCTTGCCTTAATGGAGAAAATCTGACCTCCTATTCGTGTTCAGAGCACCAAAATACATATGGGGGTAGAGTACTAGGCTCAGCCGCACATGATACTTCTTTTTGGTATTGCTGTGAAATTATTAAATGTTTGTAATCTGTTGGAGGTTTCATAAAGATTTCAGTGGAATGTCACATATATTATAGTCTCAGAAATTTTATGTTCATGCCACATTAATAAAATATTATTTTACAGAGTAAAACTATCTACAATGGGGCCAATTGAGCTGTTATGTATAGCTGCTGCAATTTTCCTCTTTCTCTACTACTATAGTTCCAAAAATCATAACTACTGGAAAAATCAAGGAGTAAAAGGACCCGAACCTATGCCATTTTTGGGAAATATAAAAGATATTTTATTAAATCGTCTGGCACCTGGACAAATGGCAAAAATTCTTTACGATAAATTTGTCAATGAACCAATGATTGGAATTTACGCCAGAAGTACACCAATTTTAATTCTAAAAGATCCAGAATTAATAAAAGACGTTCTCATCAAAGATTTCAATAAATTTGCCGATCGTGGATTACCAGTTCATGAAAAACTTGATCCACTTTCATTAAATCTCTTTAATCTCGAACCAGAAAGATGGAGACCCTTAAGAAAGAAATTGTCACCTGTTTTTACATCGGGAAAATTAAGAGAAATGTTTTCCCTTCTTTTAGAGAGTTCTGAACACTTTGAAAAATATCTACATAAAATTGTGCATAAAAATGAACCAATCGAGTGTCATTTACTTACATCGAAATTCACAACAAACGTCATTGGTTCATGTGCTTTTGGAATTGATATAAATGCATTGTCCGATGAAGAAAATGATTTTATACGAATAGGAAAAAAAATTTTCGATGCTAGTTTATGGAGTTCGATAAAAAGAAAAATTAGAGAATTAGCACCTGATTTATTTTCACTTTTAGGACCATTGTTGAAAGATAATGAAATTGATAATTTTTTTACAAGTTTAATAAAAGATACAATGGAATATAGAAAGAAAAATAATATTATTAGGCATGATTTTGTTGATTTAATGAGGTATGTGATTGAAAATCCAGACAAGGTTGACGATATTGGTAGGTTAATTTTTTTTATTACTGTTTAGGCAATAACTATTAAAATTTAATTTATAACAAAGGACCACAAAAAAATCAAACTTTTCCAAGGCAAACCGGAATATAATTTTCTGATGTATTTTTCTGTGTTAAACACGAATCTGAAGTCCGATTTGCTCCATCGCGTCAGGATTTTTTTCTAACCTCAAAAAAACATGTCTCATCAAACAAGTAACTCAAAATTCTTTTGGGCTTGCAAGTTCTGTGGTCGCTGATTACGAATCTGTCCCCAGATTTTCTAAATTCAAAATGGCGGATTCAATATAATAAAGGACAATTAAAAAAAGAAATTGTAAATTCAGATGTTCATTACATGAACATTTTGCTTCCTCTTTACGATCAGCAAAAAAATATGCTTCCTCGTTGAGAAACAATTAACATTGAAATAAACAAACAAAAATAATATAATAATAATATAAACATTTGAGTACCTATAGATTTGAGTTAAATTTAAAGAATTAATAGAAATTAAAAAAGCAAAAATTCACATTTTATCTGAAATTTCTAAAAATTAATGAAAAATAATATATAATTAATAATTATTTACAATTATATCGGTTTGTTTCAATGCAAGGAACACAGTTATTTTATATTTAAACTTGAATTTAAATAAATTCAAAATTTTTCAGCTAAAATGGGAATTTTTTTTTAACTTTTATTATTTCTTTAAATTTAAATTGAAACTATACTTTATATATGTCGTAGGGAAATAGAAGAATCCAGGAGTAAGTCTACTTCCTAGGCAGTAGGCTTACTTGTGGCAATTAGAGGAATTCACGTAGAAATCATTCACATTCATCTATTTGCGTAGGGAGTAAGCTTACTGCCCGATAAAGATTCGGCATTTAGACAACTTACATCGCGTGTACATCGCGTTATACTGCACTCCGAACCAATCTGCAGAATTTCATACATTTTGGAGTAATGATAGAATTTTTTTGACTTTTTTTCACTTCCATTAATCAAAATTGATTTCACTGCTTCATATTGCTGTTTACTCCACACGGATCTATTTCCTGTTTGAGCCTCCACTTTCATTTTAAATATTTTTTCAAATTCACAGCGATTCACCGAATTAACTTCCATTATTAATATTTGTAATTAATTTATATAAAAAATAATAAAACGATAGAAATTAAAAATGAATAAAATCACTACTGTTTGCTTCAACGGTTCTAAGACGTTTGTAAATTGTAAATACCAATTTTTCACTACCTATGAAGTCTTACACTATGAATATTAGACGAGGAAAATTTAGGAGTCATTAGTACACTACCGTCCGAAATTGTGCGAACTCTACTTTTTCAACAACTATAAAACTGTTCAAATCTTCAAGAATATTAAAACTAAAATTTTTTCCTCTTTATTTTATTAAAGCTAATAAAATTCTGAAAGAAATGACACCTTGACAAAGAGAATATGTTAATTTTTCAATTAGATATCTAAGAAAAACCCAATTTTCAATGTTTTTACTATTTTTTTTATTTCTCTGGCAAAAATTAATATTTTTAAACGTTCTTAGGCTCATTGAAATCGTATTTTGTTATGCAATTCAAATTATATAAAACAATTCATGTACACATTCTTCCCTAGCTTATGCAAACCGTGAAAGTTGGCTCATAAAATGTCAAAAAATTTAAATTTAATTCTACAATAAAATATAATGTTTAAAAATCAAGTAAATAGGGTAACGGCACCAGTGAAGGAACTGACACCAGTGAAAGAACAAATTTCATGTTTTGCATTCTAATTAGTGTAATAAGCAATTTGGTATTATAAATTATATATTTTTATGTTCCTTATTTAATTTACGTCTTTAGTATCTAAGATACCTAGAGAGTTAACACGTAAATTTTATAAAAAAAAATTTTTTAAAATGTTGTGTTGCAAATTTATCTTCAACAATAAGAACTCTTCTCTGACACGTTATTTCTTTTTTCACATTTAACTAATTTAAACTGCCTAAAATCGTCGGTCTTCTTTAAACTAAATTTATCTTGTGTATTAGAAATACTTCTTTTCATTTAAAAGCTAATAAAATATTAATTTGCCATAAGAAAAGCAAATTCCGTCATTGGGGTTTTTTTTTTTTATTTACTAGTGAAAGAACAGAAATGTTTTTTCACTGGTTCCAATGCAATCCAATGAAGGAACACCTTCAACGAATAGTCTGAAGTCAAACAAAAAAATGACAAAATCAAATAGGTTAACACTGTTAGGTTACAATAATATTGTCAAAATAAATTGCAAGTAGATGATTGATTGTAGGTTATAAATGCATTTTCAATTAAAAATAAGATTCTGCAAACTTAGTTAAAAAATATTCATAATTATCATTAATTTACCTTTATTTTAGTATATTACAAACATTTTATTACTTTATCTTTGTTTTAATATATTTTTTAAATATATTTTAAATATATATTTCACATCGTTCTTTCACTGGATGCAGAAAATTCTTTCATTAGACAATTTGTTCTTTCACTGGTGAAATAGGTATGTTTTACTTATTAATTAAAATTTTAATTAACATCTTATATTTATGAAAATTAAATGTGACCTTCGCATTCTACACTTAATTAGCTATCGAAAAAAAATTGGTAAAAAAATTTTCAATAACTGCATTCAAAAATAATAAATGATAAAAGTATGCATTTCCTTAAATGTTCTTTCACTGGTGCCGTTACCCTATATCATTCTAAACTTCTCTGATTTATGTAAGTAAATTTAAGATTTATACATTTTACTGATCATTTTTTGTCATATAAATATTAATCACAATTTTTTGACATTTTATGAGCCAACTTTCACGGTTTGCATACGCTAGGGAGGAATGTGTACATGAATTGTTTTATATAATTTGAATTGCATAACAAAATACGATTTCAATGAGCCTAAGAACGTTTAAAAATATTAATTTTTGACAGAGAAATAAAAAAAATAGTAAAAACATTGAAAATTGGGTTTTTCTTAGATATCTAATTGAAAAATTAACATATTCTCTTTGTCAAGGTGTCATATCTTTCAGAATTTTATTTACTTTAATAAAATAAAGAGGAAAAAAATTTAGTTTTAATATTTTTGAAGATTTGAACAGTTTTATAGTTGTTGAAAAAGCAGAGTTCGCACAATTTCGGACGGTAGTGTATCTAATTAAATTCTTTGTTTTGAATTGCGACTTTGGGTTGATTCATAAACAAATACACGGATGGCGATGTAAGTTGTCTAAATGCCGAATCTTTATCGGGCAGTAAGCCTACTGCCCAGCAGTAAGCTTACTCCCTACGCAAATAGATGAATGTGAATGATTTCTACGTGAATTCCTCTAATTGCCACAAGTAAGCCTACTGCCTAGGAAGTAGACTTACTCCTGGATTCTTCTATTTCCCTACGACATATATACCAATCGATTTGTCTTGACGTAAGGAAAACGATGAAACGTTATATTATATAACCTTAAATTTTTCTATTTAAAAATTTTTTTGTTTTAAAAATAAATTTTGGAAAAAAGACGATAAAATTTTTTTTTGGGTATTTTTTAAAATCCTTTGGTCAGATTTGAGATATTAATAATTATGATAAATAAGCCTACCTTTTATCTAAATCCATTAAAACCTGTTAAAATTATCGTCTATACAAAAAAAGAGATCCACACACACACATACATACATCCGGACAATTGATCATGATCTCATATAACATGTTTCTATATAGAGAAAAATTAGTTTCCGACACTTTGAAAATTTTTATAATCGAAATCCTAAAGTCGTTAATTTTTGTTTGATTAGACATCTTTTTTGAGGTTAGAAAAAAATTTACATTTATGTATTAGAGAACAAAATTTTCATATTTTTTTTTTAGCTATAAATCTATACTCATTTTACAGAAATGACTGACAGTTTAGTGACAGCTCAATGTTTTGTTTTTTTTGCGGCTGGATTTGAAACATCATCTACAACAATGAGTCATGCTTTATATGAAATAGCACTTAATCCTCAAATTCAAGATAAACTTCGAAATGAAATTCAACAAGTTTTAAGTAAATCGGATGGAAAATTAACATATGACAATGTAAAGAGTATGAAATATTTACACAAAGTTTTCCAAGGTAATTTATATACAGAAAGCTTATTTATTTTTTTCTTTTCTTTTGAAAAAAAAAGATATTTAATTTGTGACATCTAACTGCGATTTTAGAAACTCTGAGAAAATATCCACCTGCAACTATGCTTCAACGACAGGTTTCGGAAAAATATACATTTCCCGGAACCAAAGTGACGATTCCAAAAAATTCTAAAGTATGGATTCCAGTTTTTGCAATTCAACGAGATCCAAATAATTATCCCAAACCAGAAGTATTTAATCCTGAAAGATTTGAAGATGAGGAAGTAAATTTACGACATCCTATGCTCTTCTTGCCATTTGGAGAAGGGCCGAGAAATTGCATTGGTATAATTTATTTTTGCACTAATTATAATAATAATTTCAAATTAGAATAGATTAACGAAACTATAATGTACGCAACGTTTATGATAAATGGTTTTTTAAAGTGACGAAAAATTCTATAATTTCTTTCCAAAAAAAAAAATATTTCTTCTAGTCTTTATTAATTAACAAATTATAGAAAAATATTTCTCATAGGTAAACAATTTTATAATTTTTCGTGTTAAATAAAAATTGATTTCTAATCGTTGATCATAAAACGTTGCGTACTTCAGCATCGTATAATTTAAATAATAAATCGATAAAATTCGAACAAATGGACTTTTAATAAAATATCCTTGGAGGAAATTTTTAATAAAAATCCACATGTCCGAATGTTGTTGTTTTTTTATATTTCTATTTTAATATTTTCTACCTGAACGTTAAAGATTTATAATTAATAGTTTCTAATATATTTCTAAAAATAGATTTTTTTATTGATTTTAGGAGCAAGATTTGCTGTATTTCAAACAAAAGTAGGACTCATAAAAATTTTACAAAATTTCCGGGTTGAAAAATGTGAAAAAACTCCAATGACATACGTTATTAATCCAAAGGCTATTGTTCTATCTCCTCAGGAGGATATTTATTTAAAATTTACGGAATTACGTTAATAATGATTTTTTTTTTGTTAATTTATTCATCATTCATAAAAGTAAAAAATTCATTTTGATTGTGTTTTCTACAAACACATTATTTGCATCATAATATATTAAGGAAAAATAAATAATTTGTATTTTCATAAAATATTCAAAAAATACTTAAAATAAATATCTTTTACTAAAAATTAAATTTTTATAAACATTGTTATATTTTTATCGATGTAATAGTCGCAAGTTATTTTAATATTTTGAAAAACTACAAATCATTTCGCATTGTATGTATACTATAGATATTGGATACGTTTTATTTAACTTTCAAACTTGGCAATTTATCATTCCATTTTAAGAATGTAACAAACAATGTAATTTTAATAATGAAATAATATAAAAAATAGCAATAAAATATTTTTAATTTCAAAAAAAGTTGACAAAAAATAAATGTTTGTAAATTACCAAATTATTTGTATCGTTATATGGGCATATCTTTGAAACCTTTAACTTTTTAATAAGAAAATTTTTTTTTTTTTTGAGCACAGTATTGAAACTTTGTCTACATAAACTTCAAGAACTAAGCTTTCCAATTATACAAGTGAACAGATAAAACAAGTTGTCTTCAAATTTTAAAAAGCAATAAAATTCGTTTAATATTTTCAATATTTATATGAATAATAAAATACTGAAATAATGCACTGGGTATAAAAGCATGTGTCAAAAATTAACTAGATATATAAATTTTTTATTTGAATATTTACATTACATTTTAAAATAGATTTTTATTATAGTGAATTGTTTTAAAAATGTAAAATTGTAATTTTTAAAATTTACCATACGATTTTCATAGACTTTTTTCTATTTAAATTTAATATTCGTAAACTTTCCAATTTCTTTTCTCTTTTTTCCTTTTCTATTTTTCTTTTCTCTCGCATCTTATCTTTTTTCAGAATGAATTTTTTTGGATCCATTTTTGTGTCTCGAAATAAACATTAAAACTTAACCTTCAGGTTTTAATAATTAATGACAGTTTCTATAAAAAAAATTATAATCGGCAACTTCGTACATAACAATTTCTTTCTAAAAAATTTCGGTCGATTACTTTCGACCGTAATTGATGAATATTTTTACATTATCTTTGCAATAAAGTATTTTTTCTCGAAGCACATTCACGGGATGTTAAATGGCACATGTGAAAATACATACAAGTACTTTTCGAATACTTTTATATGATTTTCATGAAGTATCACTCGTATGACGGTTGTTTTCAAATTTTGTCCACGCGTGTTTTCGTTTACTTAACTTATAATATTTTTTTGAAGACATGAAGCACATCAATTTATTATGTCTCAAAATAATTATAGTAACTTGATCTTTGATTTCCCATAAGTTATTTTAACGTGCCGCTTGTCTTATAAAAGAAAAATCATAAATACGATGATTACGGTCGAAGAGGTTAAAAGTGAGGGACAACTTTTAAAAGCTTATAAATTTTTTCACAATTAATAAAATATTAATTTCCCTGCGAAAATGTGTTCACCGATTAATTAACATTGAAAAAACATATTTCAGAATTAGTAATTTTTATTAAATCTAAAACTATATCGTTTAAAGCATCAGAAAGTATGGTTAAGGACAAGTAGACATTGTTGAAAATCGCGTATTAAAATTGAAATAATTATTTATGTATTTAATAAATTAAAGTGGAATCTTTTGGAAATGATTGATTGTATCAAGCATTAATATTTCCAACAAAAACCAACGAAAAATTTATTAAAATTACCAAAATATATGCGAGGGACATTAAAATTAAAAGTTCTAGAGATATGCCCATATACCTAATTTGCATTGACAAATTATAAAATTTTTTTTTTAAATTAAATTTATAAATTTTTTTCTATTAACAATTAAAAAAATTTGTCAATGTTTCCTCCGTAGGAAACGATAAATCAAGAAAAAATTATTGCAAAAAAATAAATTATTATAATTTTTAATTAATTTATGTAAATAATAAAATTTTTTTACAATTACTTATAATAAAGCTATATAGGGTCAGCCGGGGTAAATCCGAACGCTTTTAGTAAGTTTCAATAATAACATAAGTTTTTTCTTTTAAAAGACAATACTTCCGGTATTCTAATGCATGAAGTTGTTACTTTACTTCCATAGAACAATTTTATGGGGTAGCAAAAATTTTTGATAAATTACAATCGCAGGAAACTTAGCGTTCGTATTTACCTCGATACTTTGCAACTTTCCTAAAATATGGGGGTAAATACGAACGCCACTGTATTTCAGAAAAATCTTAGGGAAAATAAATTTAAAGTATTGCAATTGTTAAACTTATATAAAAACTCAAAAAAAATACGATAATAAACCTATTATGTAATAATACATCATATATAAATACCAAAATCAAACAGGTTAAAAATTAAAATGCATTTTACAATCAAAACCTTCAATAACTTTATCAAATCATAACGGATTTTTGCAGAACTTGGTACAGAAAGTATTTTGGAGTGATTGAATGTAAATACAAAAATAAAAGTCAAATTTTTTAAATTCAAAATGGCGGACTTTCCTAAAACTTATTTTTAAAAATGATCAAATTTACTAACCCTCAAACCCCCCGAGTAACAATTTTCGAGCGAATCCAATGAATTTTTGAATTCTCGTCCGTCATTTTGAATTTTGAAAAACTGACTTCAAATTGGTAATCAGCGACCCCAAAAACCCTAGAACACCAAATTTTATTAAGATCCTGAAAAACTTTTTTCAACAAACCATTTGGCAAAAAAAGTGGAACACTCCTTCGAGAGAACAGAGATTAAGTTTCTGCTTATTAATTACTTACGAGGATACATATAGAAAGAAAAACTTTTTTCTATGTACTTTTATAATGTTAAAATAACAGTGTAATGAAATAAAAACAATTTTGTGTGGCTCTGATATAAGAAAAAATTATTGAAAATACCGTTCACAGTTTTCCTAAAAGTATCAAATTGAGACCAAAAATTGCATCAAATCTTTGCAACGTTTTGATGCACATAAGTTATATCAAAAAGAGATCGTTTTGTGTATCATTTTTAGAAATGATACACGAAACGGTCTCATTTTTTGATGCAAAAAATTTACTCAATTTATATCAATCATGGGCGAATTAAATCGACTCAAAATAAAGAAATGTGACAGTGAAATAAATAATGATAATACGATATAAACCTGTAACGAGTATAATTATGTTTGTGTACTTACAAATAATTCCTGATGGTTATAAATTTTTTTACGTAGCACCAATAGAATGATTTTAATGAATAATTTCAACACATTAATGACTTCATTAATTTATTGATTAAAATTTGAGACAATTAGAAAAAATATTCAATGAAGTAAAAGTCGTATTTCATGCTGTAACTGTACATATGTGTGTATGACGTTTAGTATTACCGATAGTCAACAATAGGAGCGCCACCTTCGCGTCACATGATAACTTTACTTATGGCTGTGTTTACAATAGGACAATGGGAAAAATTTCAGTTTGTAAATTGTAAATAGTAAAATATTATAAATATTAAAACAGTAAAAAAAAATATTAAAATAAAGGATATACTTCCGAATTAGGGGTACCTCCGATTTTAAGAAAACTTGGTATAATAACGTATTTTGGTGCGCTGATTACGAAAATGATAGTGAAAATTGGCGCAAATTTGATTATCATGGTAAAAATCATAAAAAACACCATAAAATCATGGTTTTTTGAGATTATCTTGTAAAAAACAAAAAATTTCGAAAAAAGTTTTAGACAAAAGTTGTAGATCTCAAAAAAACACACATTTTATGTTTTATGCATTTTTTACCAAAAGTCATTATTTTTCGAGAAAAATGGTCCGAAAGTAATTTGGGGAAATTGTGGGGTGAAGTCTACAGCAGCGGTAAATGCAAAATAGTAAACACGGCCTTCGGCCGCGTAAGGTACTGCTCTCTTCTGTTTTTAAGAAATCTTGGCGAGAGGGGGTGGATGTGTCCGAAAGTAATTTGCAGAAATTGTGGGGTGGAGTCTACAGCAGCGGTAAACGCAAAATAGTAAACACGTCCTTCGTACGCGTAAGGTACTGCTCGCTTTTCTTTTTAAAAAAACCTTGGCGAGAGGGAGTGGATATGGCCGAAAGTATTTTGCGGAATTCGTTGGATCCTGAGTAGGGGAGACCGAGGAGGAAAGTAACAGAGGAGGAAAGTAACAAAGCTTATAACTTTTAAACAAATTATCGGATAGACATGGTTCAAACATATTTTTAGTCGGCACTGTTCCCCCTTCCTCCTCCATAGTGTGTCCGAGCCTGACAGGAAAGGTTAGGTCTGATTCCGGTGTGACGTGCAGAAAAAACGTCAAAAGTAAGTTTTCGTTCAAATTTTCAAAGTCTCGTATTTCTTTAATTTTATTGTTTTTCAAAATGTGCCTTTCGTTATTTTGTAGCCTTATTATCTGTCTTTAAGTTGTGCTTAAACAAACAATTTAACATTTGTGTAGTTTTAACTTTTTTGTTGACATACAAGAAAAAAGCGACCGAGGAGGAAAGTAACACGCTACTTTTCTCCTGTTGTCGATATTGTCCATGTTTTAACTAATGATTGAAGCAAATCGTATTTAATTTTACGAATAACAGAGATTTATTTAAGAAAAACCTGTGATCTAGGTAAGCATAAAATATCTTTAAGAAAAAAAATGAGCTAAATTCATAAAATGTTCGAAATATGTGCCAAAGAAGTATAAAGTGTACTTAAACTTTTATGTGTTCCTAATAAAAATATTTCTAATTAATAATAGTCATTAGTCTAAAGAATTTTACATAATTTTATACTATTACTTTCCTCCTAGGAGCTTGTTACTTTCCTCCTCGGGGGTGAGGAGGAAAGTAACAGATGAAGAGCTTGCGTAAAAGTTATACTGTGAACTGTCAATTTATTATAAATGTTTAATTCAAATTTTATTTAAAAGGTGAATGTCCAAGCTTTCATTTAATATATTGGACAAATTTATCCGACAAATATTTTTAATGCTAGCATAAAAAAACTGATTTTTGTTACTTTCCTCCTCGGTCTCCCCTAATGGTGGATATGATACTATATACGAGTCAAATAATATGTCTACCCGTGACTGCGGTATATGTTTTCATTGTCATGGTGTTTTTCGTTTTTTGGATTTTTCTCGAAAAATAATGACTTTTGGTAAAAAATGCATAAAACATAAAATGTGTGTTTTTTTGAGATCTACAACTTTTGTCTAAAACTTTTTTTGAAATTTTGCGTTTTTTACGAGATAATCTCAAAAAACCATGATTTTATGGTATTTTTTATGGTTTTTACCATCTTAATCAAATTTGCGCCAATTTTCACTATCATTTTCGTAATCAGCGCGCCAAAATACGTTAGTA